GTGTGTATAGTTATCAAAAAAACATAATGTCCTGCTTAGATGTTCAATTAAACATTTCTTCCAAAGCTATGAAACGTGATTGGGAACAAAAACTATTTATAGTGACCCATAGCATTTTTTGGGGAGAAAATAAGATAACTATTGGTATGAGCTGAATATTTATAAATGCATAAGTTGTACAAATTGTGTGGAAATTTTAGTAAAAAATTCTGCATTTCCAGTAATTACGCTATATTTCTTCATATTTCAGTGCCAAACCCAAACAATGTAAGCAGATTCCAAGTAGGTTGACACACATCATAAACAAATTTCTTATCTATGACATATATCCTTTAGAAAATCTTATTGGAGCATCTCCTGCTAGCAATGTGTTGCATTGAACTTCAGACATAGTGAAGAATGTCCATATGCCATAGGCCTGGGCATAATCTGCAACCAGCGATGAATACTAGGGCCCTAACATGTACAGAGGAGGGCAAGGATCCATTCTAAAGATCAGGTGCACAAAATAGTAAGTCTAGGAAAATACAACTGTAGAAGGGATTTCAAACACGTGACTGCTTAAAAATTAATGGATGGGATTTACAAGAGTGAAGTTGTCATAGCTACAATAAAAGATGAGATGGTTAGGACATAATCCAAAGACATTCGAGACACGTGTTATGAGTTTTGGAAGAAATCTTTAAGCTGAGTTGAAGAGATTAAGAGATGAGGTATTGGACATAAAAGGATCTGGAGAAATTACAACACATAGACTGAAGATGGAAGAGTTAATTAGTGATATCGGCATTTTTGACATGTTATTTGTAAAGAGATGTGCTCACTCGATATTTTTCAGAAGTGAACTAAGTCTAGTAAAATATAATTTATCCTTGTCACAGAAATATGGTAGGTTCAGTTATGACTATAAAGTTATTCTTAAAGAGTCTGGTTAAGCAACATGGCAAGTGTTGCTTGATGTGGTTATTGAGAGAGAATAAAATTGCAAGATGTTTTTTTCTCGATCAATCAACAAAATAATTGTGAAAAAACCATGTACATAAGGACTAGCTTCAAAATGTCCATTTGTTATATAAGAACGGTGACAATTGTCATTATGCACATAAGAACTTTGTGACAACAATCTATATTTGACAATGGCCCACTGCAACAAGTAGCATACCTGATCAGCGAGGTCATAGATCAACTTCGAGTCTTCCCCATACTTTCCCATAAGAGTCTCTCTCAATTCAAAGGCAGGGGTATCTAGAGCCCTGGCACCATGCCTTTTGAAAACCTCAACTATAATTGAGAAGGCTCTCTCTCTTATGGCCATCTGTTCTTTTGCAAAATCGCGGGTACCCTGCATAATGCAAAAAAGTGAACAGGTAAGTTGCTTTATGCAAAAAACATTAATTATGTTGCTTGGACTCGAGTAAGGGTATCGGATATGGATACATATCTAAGTGTCGGACCTTTTATTTTTTAAAATGTAGGATACGGGGACATGGTTCAAAAGAGTCCAAATTTCGGAACAAGTACGTGAGTACGTCTTTAAAATTTCAATTTTTTCCCCTAAAAATTCACATGTAAAAATTTAAACAATAATTAGTTGCAAATTGTTAAAAGATAAACATGTCAACTATTATTTGATTACTTCTATTTTTTCATGTTTTGAAAACAAAATATATACATATATATTAATTTCAGAAAATGCTATTAAATTGTTCAAAAACATTTATTTATGTTGATTTTATAATTATTTGTCAATCATTTTGGCCAAAAAAAAATCACAAATACCCTGCATAATGCAAAAAATTGAACAGGTAAGTTGCTTTATGCAAAAAGCATTCGCTATGTTGCTCGGACTAGGGTACGGGTATTGGGTACGGCTACGTATCTAAGTGTCAGACCTTTTATTTTTTAAAATGTAGAATACGGGGACATAATTCAAAAGAGTCCAAATTTTGGACGCGAGTATGTGATTACGTCTTTAAAATTTCAATTTT